CCAGCATCTGCAGATCCTACTATCTCTGTAACGTTTAATAGATTGGCTTTCATTAGACTGCTCAATTGACTTCACATGAACACTGCATGTGATCTTCATATTAATGCAGTATAATAATGGGCATGGCCAGTAACTACTAATAGAACATAGAACATAAACAGTACAGCACAGTATTCGGCCCACGATGCTGTGCCAACCTATTATCCTACTAAGATCAATCTATCCTGCATACCCTACATTTTACTATCCTCCATGTGCCTATCCAAGAGTCGTTTAAAAGTCTTTAAAGTATCTGACTCTGCTACCACTGCCGGCAGCGCATTCCACACGCCCGCCACTCTCTGTGTAAAGATATAATACTGGATTACTCATGTAGCTGGACTGACTTCACTTTTTAGCAGAGCAATTTGCAAGATAAATTCAATGACTGGCAATCTGACCGTGAAGCATAAACATGCTGGGTTATTACAGTAACTAATTCAGATTAATATAGCAACTAATGTGGCCATTGGGTCTCCAGTCCACTCTGAGGTTGACTTTGAATTTTTTCATTGCAATGAAGGACAGCAGTATATATAGCGTTACTGGTGCCTACACACCAAGAAGAAATGCATTTTAAGGAAAACTCTGATCTTAACTGAGCACCAACTGTCATCTCCTTTTCAAAAATCATAACATTTGAAACATTTGTCAATTTCAAATTAGCGTTCCTGTGAAATCCTACAATCGGTAATCCATTGCTAATGCACTTAAGTTTATTTAGCTATTGATTTCTGCAGGGCGGACAGATTTTGAAAGATTTCAGTTACTCCAAAGCAAAGGCAAAAATTTCTGAAGAAGGGTCTCGACCCGAAACGTCAGCTTTCCTGCTCCTCTGATGCTGCTTGTCCTGCTGTGTTCATCCAGCTCTACACCTTGTTATCTTTAATTAAAATCAGTGTACTGTCTATTAACAAGGGATAATCGATATACATAAAGGCTTTATTAACGTAATTTATTTATTTAAGAGGCACTGGGTTTGTCTTTTGCAAAGTAAGAAACACATTAGACCTCAAAAAGCTTAACTTAGCCTTTTATTCTTACCATAAAAGGAAAGGTTAGATCTTGAAATCATAAAATGGTAGAGCCCAGAAACAAGGTTAACAAAACTGATTTGGCCTATTAAATCTGGGTTGGTATTTCTGTCTGTAAACCATCCAATGTAATGCCACACTCCTACCTGTTTCTCATACATTTATTAGTCCGCTTTAACAAAGAACAGATTCCTTTTTAAGAGAATTCAGTCATCCTGCTTCAATAACAGTTACTTTTCTTCATTTGTCATTTAATTGGACTTGTGATTATCTTAAATTGGTGCCCTTGACTTACAACATCCCAGTTATTCAGTAACTCCCTCATAATTTTTGTTTCTAAACACTCCTTAACAAGTAGCAGGCATAGCCTGCTTTTTGTAAATACTTTTAAACTAAAAAGCAGACCATTGCTTGCATTTTTAAGAATAAGAATATGGTCTAAACAAGAGGGGAGTGCTGCTTATCCAACCAGCATGATACAACAAAAACTTAAATCCTGCCAATGAATCTAATGTGCAGTTGAATCTCCTAAATACATCTCCCTACTCATGCCATGGATCACATTCAGGCACATTAAAGAGAAATCCATGTTTGCAGGTTGTAGATCCCTACTTTAACCCTGCTTTCCCATTCCTGCTCAGAACCAACCCTGGTGTAAAATTGTTTTTTGTTCTGATTTTCTATTCTGAACGTTGTGCCTGGTGTTTTGCACTCTTCCATGGATTCTATCGACTCTCTGGCATAAGGAAATCCTCCTGAACTTTTAGTCCCTAGCAGACATGAGGCATGATACACAGACCAGAGCTCAATACATTAACTTTTCCCACTGAGATAGTTGACATTTGTCCCTTCTCCTTACACCAACACGATACGTTTGTACAGTAACTATTAGGTGAAGAATTAAGATCATACTTCCAATGTTATCTGTTTGACACCAAAGTGAAAATCTGACAAGGCCAGGCATTTTTTTGCCCATTGCTAATTGTCCATGATTGAATGGCTTACTGGCCTATTTCAGAGCGCAGTTCAGAGTCAGCCACATTGCAGTGGGTTTGGAGTCATAGGTGGGCCAGATCAAGCAGAGGTGACAGATTCCCTTTCCACATCAGTGAACCAGATAAACTGTGACGACAATCAACACCATTTCTCAGTAGCTGCTGCCAAAGAGATGCAGGCAACCTGTATCTAATGTTTACAGCAACTTGACATTATTACTATAGACCTGAGTTATTTGAGGGGGTCATTCAGGAAATGGAAATAAATGCCTAATGAACAACTCTGTTGGCAAAGGTCACTCCAGGACATCTAAAATGGGCTAAGAAGCTGCTGCTTCGTAAATAAACAAATGCTGATAATCCTTTCAGTGTATAATCAAGAGAAATGTATGCCTTCATTAAATTATTTTAAATAAATGTTACATTTTGTTGAAATAAATCCGTCATCTAGTGCAGATAAATATGTGTGACATTTTAACTACTTGAAGCTTGTTTATTTACACAGAAGGACACTGATTAGATGAGCTTTGTTTTAGAACTGGCTTGTGGTTGTGTTTTGATTTTTTTTTTGTAATCTGTTGGAGCCTTAAATGGTGATTAATGAGTCCCTCCATGATTTGATAACCAAAAACTCTCAGGTATGACGCTGAGTTGTGCAGAACATCAAGGCCTGAGGTTCAATCATTAGTCTGAGTTGAGTTCACCAATTTCAGGCAGAGGAACAGGAAGATTGTTATAGTTGGCCTCAGTTTGTTGGTCTGGATGCCATTGATACAGCCAACTGCAATTTCTCCAGCATTAATTCCTGTTTGTCCATTGTCCGCATCCTCACAGACCTGGTCTCCCATGAAATTGAATCTAAAATTTTTGTCCTTGTTTCCAAAACCCTTCAAAGTCTTGTCCCACCCTTTCTCTGAAACTTTTTCTATTTTTGTAACTCTTACCCTGACACTACATTCTCCTACTTTGGTCATTCTGGCTTTTGCACCGTTGTCCATTGATCTTGCAGTTACCAAAATCCCACCTCCAGAATTCCCACCCTAAACCACTTTGCATTTACAATCTCTATAACTTTGAACCTTTCTCAATATCCATCCACTAATCAAGTTTTCTGTCACCTCTCCTTACTCTTCCATCTGGCCAGGTAGCATTCCTTCGTATTCTTGTCTTTTCACTCTTCGTGAACTACTTTGATATAGTTTTTCCATTAAATTTGTTTAAATGTTTCTTGGCATGGGTATTGAGTGCGAACTGAATTGTGTTTAGCTTCGTTACCTAGTAAAGAATTTAAATGAGACTTTGGAGAACTGGTAAGCTTCTCAGAATATATCTCAGAAATTTGTCCTTACCTTCAGCAAAAGTACAATAAATGAAGTGTTTATCATTTTTAATTTCTCTTTGGGAGTATATTTGTTTTACTTGCTCACAGGACATAACATTGCTGGCTCAGCCAGAATTTGTTTCCTATCTCTAATTGTCAGAGGGCAGTAAAGAGTCAACCACTTTGCTTTAGGTCTGGAGTCACATGCAGACCAGACCAGGTAAGGGTGGCAGATTTCCTTCTCTAAAGGATATCAATGAACCAGATTGTGATAAACAAAACTATCGACAGTGATCACACAATCGCCAGTAGGCCACCGTTTTATTCCAGTTTTGTTACTGAGTTCAAATTTCAACACCTGTCATCGTGGGATTCAAACCCATTCTCCCACAAATTTCCTGATGCTTGATTGTGAGTCCAGTGACATTAATGCTATGCCATTGCATTCCCCATTTGGAAGTTAATTCTCCAATGTTCTCCATCCTTGGGATTTTTGTGTCCTACAGGACTGATATTTCACATGTAGAAATTATACAAGGCATCATTCAATGGTCATCTGCACTGTTCCATACTACTTAAGATTTGAAGAAAGTGAGGAATAAAAAACAAGATTTGCCTTTTGGAAACCTGGTGTTACAATAGCTGACATCAGGTGAAATTGTTGTCACAATTTGAACTGAAATAATTTTAGCTTCAGACATTGCCTATTATGGCCGGTTACTTTAGCTATTTCTGTAGAAAACACAGTTAAAATCAAGACATCACCCATTTGACATGTGCTGTAGTCAGAGCTGATCTCGCACTACATTCCGAATCACGCGTGAAATGGGTTCTTGGAAACCTCTGCTTACAACAGATAGTATCCTTAGTAAATGAAAGGATGAAGACTGGATTGGCCAAATGGGACTCTTTCTCCCTTGTAAATGTGTTGTATTTCTATTTTTAGGATTGCACCATCTGTATGGAAAGGCTGGTCAGTTCATCGGGCTATGAAGGTGTCATGAGTCTGAGAGGAGTGAAACCGGAACTGGTTGGAAAGCTCAGTAAATGCAGTCACATGTACCATCTCCTATGCCTTGTGGCCATGTACAACAATGGCAATAAGGTGAGGTCCACCAGTAAGCCAATATCATTGACTGTGAAGCACTGGTGATAGTAATTGCAATATTATTGTTCTTTTTCTTCCTCAAGTTGTAATACCTAAAAGTCTCATTTTTGTTTCAATCAGGAATTTTTTTTTTAAAAAATCGATCGTGGGATGTGGCCATGCTGGCCAGGCCAGCATTTATAGCCCAGCCCAAATTGCCATGGAGAAAGAGGTGATAAATTTTTTTCTTGAGCTGTTGCAGTCCTCGGGCAAGTGTCTAGGGTTACTCAGTGTTGTTAGGAAGTAAGTTGCACAATTTTGACCCAATGACATTGGAAGAATGATGATGGAGTTCCAGGTCAAGATGGTGTGTGGTTTGGAGGGGTATCTCTGTCAGGAAGCACTGATATAAAAATTAATTCTAACCTTTGAAGATGAAAATAAAATTATATTTGCTACAATATCCCAAAAATTACCAATTTAAAATATAATGAAAATATGTGAGTGCAAGGAATTTTTATAAAGTATGAGCCGGTAGTTTGATCACATGTCACAGTTATTATGTTCTCAAATGTAACACCAATTTTAAATATTCAATAGCTGAAAAATTGTGAAGTCAGTAGTCATATTGAAAAGCCAGTAAACATATCCAGACTCAGTAGGAACTGCAGATTTCTGAAGAAGGGTCTAGGACTGAAATGTCAGCTTTCTTGCTCCTCTGGTGCTGCTTGGCCTGCTGTGTTCATCCAGCTCTACACCTTGTTAGCTCTAAACATATCCAGACTGTTCTGTTATAATCGTGGGTACACAACGGCTAATTGGCTAAGACTTGAGCAGTGGCTTGTAATGTGGGAGATATCACTGAGCCTTTAAATAAAAGCAAGTGGATGCTGTCTACAACTGGCACAAATTTACAGAATGATATAGAGAAGAACAGATGGATAAAATGACTTACAGGAGCAAGTATTAGATGACATGGTAAACTACAATCCAAACTAGACTTGTCTGAACTAGAATAAAATAATACACAAACATGACCAGGGTCTCTAGTTGAATTGATCACTTGCAGTTTTTTTTCTTGAAGAAATGTAACAACTGATTCCTATGGTACTCGGGTCCTTTCTCTCTGATCTTGAGAAATCTCGTTGGAGGTGGGAGGCACCACCAATGACCAGGAAACCTCACACAGTAACACGGCAACCTGCCCTTCACCTTGAACAGTCACTATATGTGATATAACCACCACAAGTAACAATCCGTAGTCTGTTACTACAAAATATATGGGTAGTTTTCTTTCAGAAATCTAGTTAGTTCCTGTATTATTTTTCTTCCTGTCTTGGTTCTCTCACGTCACGTTCTATTGCTTGAGTCATAAGTGATCTCCTTAGAGCTCCATGACTTGCTGCTCCTGAGCTAGCTCCAAGTTGGTGTCTGAGAGGGCATGGATTAATTTGCCTCCTCCTCTGATTCTCTGAGGTCAGATCTTGTTAAATAACATTAAGTAAAAATGTTTACAGCCAATTACTGAGTCTCTAATGTTTATTGTATTATGTGACAAATGTCAGACAATGCGGGTTTCAGGCAGCTGAAGCCAGATAATGGAATGTCCTGCTTTGGAGTTTGTTCACAGACTTTGCTGGCGTTTGTTGCTTTTGCCTAGTTGGCTGAAAAGGCAAAACGTTTGTGTAAATTGCCCCAGGCCTTTTGATGATGGTGCTCTTACAGCAATACTAGTGCGGAATTCTAGGATAATGATTCAGCAATCATGATGCAGATTCAAGTCAAGGTGATGTGTGGTTTGGAGAAGTACACAAGAACATTCCTGCTTTGTCCCATGGTGGTTAGGCTTGTAGGGGAAGAGATTCAGTTGAAGTAATTTACTGCAGTTCCTTCTGTACACTGTGCAGAATGCAGCGTGCTGAAAGCAGGGAGATGTACTGTGTTCATCCAGAGAAAGTGATGAATAGTCCATTACAGCCATGACTTGAGCCTTGTATCTGATGAAAGGAATTTGAGGAGTTGAGGTGAGCCACATGTCACAGTGTAACCAGCCACTGCCCAGCTCCTTGAGTTGTGACTGCTTCAGTTCAGGGCTTGACAGTGATGACCCTCCGATGATGCTGGTGGGAGACTGACAACACAATGGTCATCAACAAAGATCACGGGAGACGACTTTCTCTTGTTCAAGATTCCAAACCACCGGGAAATAGACTTGCACGTTCAGAATAACCATGAGGATAAGACCATTGTATTGTCTTCAGCAATTTCTCTTTGCTCACATCATTGGGCTAATACTGTTGGCTGACTAGGACGTTGTATTCGTGTACTCAGCTTTTAGTCAAGAAATTTTAGTTTAACTCTCATGCTTGCTTCTATACTAGTACATTGATATGTTTCTTCAACCATATCCATTTTGTGTTCCATAAGTACAAAGATTTGGAATACCTTTCCAAGACAAACACCAAAAAAAGCATTTTTTTTCAGGGCTGAATATATAGATTTGTATTGGAAAAGGGTAATTGTCGTGCATATAGCAGCTTGCAGGTGCCTTGCTGTTGCTGTTGCACTGAGCAGGCTTTGACCCTCTTTGTGTGCAAAACCAGCATTTCAGGGATCCATTTGACGAGTGAGCATGTCCTTGATGAGTTAATGGTGGAGAGATTTTGACTAGATCACAGGTTTTAATGCAGGTCTTATGCACAAGTACATGGTGCCCCAAACTGTTTTAATGCAACCGTGTTCATTACAAACAGAGCAAACATAAAAGGATGGAAAACACTGTGGATACTGGACATTAGGGCAGCACAGTGGCCCAGTGGTTAGCACTGCTGCCTTGTGGCACCAGGGCGCGGGTTCGATTCCAGCCTAGGTGACTGTGTATGGACTTTGCATGTTCTTCCCGTGTCTGCGAGGGTTTCCTCCCACAGTCCAAAGATGTGCAGGTTGGGTGGATTGTCATGGTAAATTGCTAGTAGTATCCAGGAAGTGTAGGCTAGATGGGTCAGCCATGGTAAATGTGGGTTCACAAGGATAGGCTGGGGGGCTGGTTCTGGCTGGGAGGGTTAGTGTAGACTTGATGGGCCAAATGGCCTCCTTCCACACTAGGGGGTCTATGATCTGAAACAGAAAATGCTGGAAAACACTCTGCAGATCAGACAGTGTCCGTTGTGAGAAAATGGTTTTGGGTCAATCATCTCTTCTCAGAACGAACATATAATTGATATAAGGTCAACAACTTATTTGGATTTCTTCTCCCGTTCCAGATGCTACAAAATCTGTTTAGTATTTTTAGATTTCACTCCTAGGTAAACTTTGTTTGAGAGCACCTGTTAAAATAAACCAGCTAAGGAGTTCCTTTTCAGGCTGTGGAGTCTCACCCAACAGGAGCTGACAGTACATCAGTATTAACATCACATTTGCTAATTGGCCAGATTGTAGCTGAAGGGGCATTTTTATATCAATTACACGGGATGGTTTTTATTTTCAAACCTTTGGCCAAGTTACATTAAAAAGAAAAAGAAACTTTTTGGATGGAGCGGGGTAGTGATTTATGACTTTACATATCCAGGACCTGCACAGGAATTCCCCGCAGACTGACAAATGGCAACTTCGCCCTTAGCTGACTTCCGCTATTGTAGGTTTAGCACATGGACTGCAGCAGTTCAAGGAGGCAGCTCTCCACCACCTTCTCAAAGGCAACTAGAGACCAGCGATAAATGCTGGCTCTGTCAGCAATGCCCATGTCCTGCAACTAAATAAAATTTGTAAAATGTTTGTTAGAACCAGGCCTGTTTCATCCCAGTTTGTAATGAAAGATCAACCAACAGGCCAAAAAAATGGGAGATTTAGCACAGCTTGTCCATTTTGTCAAGCCAGGGCACAGATTTGGAAATTGAAGCTCTGAGAGTGGTGCAGCAAAGAACATAAGAACCTGCACCTGCCTCCCCCGCCCTTTTCAGTAAAGATAATGGCTGTCTCTTACCCCAACTCCACCTTTTGTGCACCATCCCCATATCCTGTCATTCACTTAACATCCTAAAATCTATCAATATATAAAGCATCTCAGCATCTTCCGAACAAGTCTAAGCTCTACTGCCTATCACTAAATAACCAGTCACTGTGCTGTCTATTTTCATAACGAAGGATAGAGACCATTTGGTCATGGGGGTTGGATGTGGTAGAGATCAGGCATAAGCCATTTTGAAAATAAGAATCTTGGACAGTGTGCCCCTTTTTTACTAGCTCCACAATGTGCTGCAGTTTTCATAGTGAGGGCTGAGAAGGGGTAGAGGCAGCAACTTGTTCGCTGTTGTATGAGGTAATGGTTCTGAGGGGGTTAATGGTTATGTTTACACCTGCTCCGCCCATTCTATTTGATGACACTCACACTCTGTGAGTGTAGACGAGGTGTTCTAATGCCGCTTCAGAGGGTACAAATAAATCTGGACCAGATCCTTGAGGTCCTGGTAATTATGCCTGACCAAATGTAATTTTACTTATTGCTATCATGCAATGAACCTTCTTGTTGTGTATGAACAGTGTCTCCACTGTAGATACTCTACCACTAAACAGGTAGATCCATGACAAAGAAGAATTGGCAGCAGCTAACTATCTCAAACAACTCTTTCCATATACTGGTTGAGGTGGCAAATATGACCAGATGCAGGAGTGGTCATCTGGGAAAATACTCCAGTCACCTTCAATTGACTGATTATTGAACTCATTGGAAGAGCTTTTTTAACAACCTGGAGAGGGTCACCACTCAAAGGGGTGAGTGTGAAGAGCAAACAACAATTGGGAACACTAAAATGAGCCATAATGAGACACTGCAGCTGAATTAAGTTGCTGAAGTAAAGGGTAGTTGAAACTGAGGTACTGAAGCAATGGTACAAAGTTACTGTGACTTCAGTAGAGGAAGCCTCCTACTTTGATGAACTGTTTGGACACCAGTATCCACCGAGAGGCTGCTATTACTCTGCTGCCCTGCCTGCTCCGATCTACAAGGAAATAGGAAGCCCCATTGTGGCTACCTTTGAGAGACCCCCTGCAGAGCCGGTTCCCAGCCGTACACAGTGTTTGTGGCATTGAGTTTCCCTCCAGCCCAGTTGAGGAGTTTTGAAACTGTCTCATGTCCAGGATTCAATGTTTTGGATGGGATGTAAAGAAGTACAAGGGGAGGGTTTGGAATGAAGCCTGAAATCCTGAAAAAGCCAGTAACTTCTGAGCCAGTGTGTGTGGTGATAGAAAAATATTTGTTCAATAATTGTAAATTTCTACTTGTATCTTACACTTCTGTGAAAGCATTCATTTTAAGTAAGAAACATGTTTTCAGTGTAGTTTAGAACATGGCAATGTATTACAGTAAGCTATTTCAGGAAAAGTATTGGGAAGACAACATTGAGATTAGGTTAATAAATTTCAGGTAGTTTTAAGATTAATGTCCAAAAAAAAAAAGCTTAATATAATTGTTTTCTGCATTCTGTGATGTTGCTTCTGTTGTGTTAACTTATAAATCTTAAAATATGTAGACTATTACAGCAGCCTCATGAAAGGGCATTAATGATCACTGTACAGTTGTCACATTTTGTGACCTTGTCTGTCATCTTAGATAGTCATGACTTGAGAAACAGCCATACTTGATTTCACAGCAAGTCAGTGTGTTCACATGGTGTTCATGAGTCATTCTTCAGATGTTCGTGGTGGCTGTTGTGTTAATCTTGATGAGCTCGGAGGAGAGACACCCTAGTGATGTGGATAAACACTGCTGTCACTTCTCTCTTGCTGCTTGCAGAGGCTTTACACGATGGTCAGACTGTAACTGCAGCTTCTCACAAGTAGAACCATGTGTGTTAGCCCACATTCTATTGCCATTAGCATAGCAGAAAGTTGAAACTGTGGTACACTTCACTAGGAGCTGAACTTCACACAGCACAATGGAATAGTGGGCATCATTTAATAGTGAGTTTGAAATAATTACCAAAGTGCGTTTTGGGGCAGGAGGTCATTTCACAATCAGAAAACCAAAGATGGCAAGCGACAGAACACAATCTGTCTTGATCACTGAGGTTAGTTGTGTTTCATCCAGATTGCCGGTGAAGCAGCCACTCTTATCTAGAGAAGTATAATGGTGGGAAAGAGACTGAAAGTGGAAAAACTGAACGTAAATGAAATAATGTTAGCCATTTTCATACTCTATGCAAAATATTGTACCAGAGAAATTTATTTAAAAATCTTAGACTTTTATAATGTGGTATTGTATTAACTCTCATAAAACCTCAGAGTCACAAGAATCTTGAAGACCACTAAGGAAGTTGTTATAATTTCTGTTCTTTAGGATGGCAGCCTGCAGTGCCCCACGTGCAAGGCCATCTATGGAGAGAAAACTGGAACACAGCCACCTGGGAAGATGGAGTATCATGTGATCCCGCACTCACTCCCTGGATACCCAGAAGTCAAAACTATTCGCATTGTTTATGACATCCCAGCAGGACTACAAGTGAATGCTTCTAACAATTTCATATCTTTTTAGGATCACTTGAGTAACTATTATCTTTTTACTGCAAATATAGTTCAGCGAAAATTTAAATTATTCATTTCTGTTGAAAAAAACAAGCACAATGTAGATTTTGCACAGACTGCACACTATCACCACAGCACTGGCACAAGTGGCTTTCATGCAACTATAATCCCTATTTGTTGACTGAAAATTAGGACACTTAATCTTTAAAAGAATTCAGAACCAATACAAGCACATGGTGACTTGTATTGGTACTGATATTAATATATAATATTTTAAAAGCCTCTATACCATGTATATTTTGAATATCAATTATTTCATTTATGCACAAAGGAGAAATGAATTGTATTCCCTTGAAGAGAAACAATCACTTATACAATCTAATGTCTTTAGCAGCTCAGTAGACACGTGGTGCATATCAAACGAAGTTATTCAGATAAAGAAAACAGCCTGTGGAATATGACATGTTGGACAGGGAAAATTCCGTCACTCCAACCTCGATTAAATTGCAATGCAGAAGTGAGATCTCAACAGGGAATATGCTCCATGCAAAGAAAAAAGTTGCATGAAAATATGTTTACTGCTTAGTAGTCTTAATTAATCAAGATGAATAACATAACAAAGAGGTGGTTTGGTACTTTTAAAAAGAAACTAAATAATCAGATGTATTAGGCTATTTTAAATTTAGAGTAGACAGTAAAGAGAGATATTATTGTGAAGCAATGTGTTCCACAATTTTGGAGATGAGAAAAGATATGTGATAGGACATTAAAAAGGAAGCTGAAGGATTTTGAGGAAGCTTTTTTGAAGTTCGGGTCTGATGTCTGCTTTGAAGTAGGTAGGGGAAATTCTCAGAGGTTCGAATTAGGTTGTTGGTCAGGGAAATGGGTATTTCTTCTTGTAGTCGGGATGTGTTTGATGATGGTAAGGGAGGGAAGCAGTGTGGAGATGAGAGTGGACAAAGCAGATAGTTTTGGACAGGGGTAGAATCAAATGTTCGGATTAAGTGGGAAAGAAGTGGTGTAGAAAGAATTGCAGATGGCTTAGTTTTTGGAAATAACCTCCTCACATGTGAAATGCCCCAAAGTCATTTTGTTTTACCCTGGTTTGTAAACAGTGGGCAGAATGCACTTAAGTTTCAATGTGCAGTATTAGAGGGCAAAGCTCCCCGCTGGGTATTTAACCTTGTCTTAACTGTCTTATTACTTGTGTGAAACTATGATTCATTAGTCAGTCCAACTGTCACTTTCCTCTCAATTTTTTTAAAATTGTGTGTAGGGCGTTGAACATCCCAATCAAGGAAAGAAGTTCACAGCCAGAGGCTTTCCCCGACACTGCTATCTGCCTGATAATGAGAAAGGCCGGAAGGTAAGGTTTATATTTGCACACATCTATATATGCACTGTCAAAACAAAACCCCAATTTGGAATCTAATATAATAGCTAATCATTTATATATTGTAAAGATCAATGAATTAAAATCTTGACCAACTGTAGATTTCATAAGCCTTCTGACAGCAAGTTTTAAATTCCTTTGGATGCCTGAATCTGGACGTTTTACATCTGTAATTGAGGTGGATAACTTTTCTTCAAAAGTACAAGAGATCCCTGAACAGAGATAGTAGGAACTGCAGATGCTGGAGAATCTGAGATAACAAGGTGTAGAGCTGGATGAACACAGCAGGCCAATCAGCATCAGAGGAGCAGGAAAGCTGATGTTTCGGGCCTAGACCCTTCTTCAGAAAAATTTTTTT